AACACTGCGTCTTAGTAGTATTTCTAGCATTTCGGATGCAGTTCCAGCACTAGTAGTCGGAGATTGCATAGCGGTCAAATGGAGTGTCCCGACAATGGTCGTGAGGGGGTTTTTGCGTTCTTGGAATGGCTTGGTACTTTGGCGGCGATGGCCGCCGATGCCGTGAATAGTAAATTGACAGCGTCTTTAGGGAGCTGGAATGTCGCCCCGGGCGGTTCTGGATTTTGCTAAGATTCAGGATCATTCGGGTATATATAGTGGCAGCAAAGACAAATGAACTGTCACTCGGAAGACATTTTGCATTGAAATTTAAATTGCCACCGAAGATACTGGACAAACAAATATGACACAGTCGTGGGGGGGGGGGGGCGGTCTAGAGCCCTTTGGTTACTGAGACTCCACGATCCTTTAAAGAAAGCTTTTGCATCGCACAAAAAGTTCACAAAACAGTATTTTATTCGTCATTGTATGTCAGAGCGGTGACACAAAACAGTGAAACATATACTCTGATATCAGTATAGTAATTCTTGATCTAATATTTTTGGAAGGTCACCTTGTATCTTCCTATTAGTGATGCAATATGCATCCAAGTATGTGACTGTATTGTGTATATGACCATGTTATGAAAAATTTCATTAAAAATTCATGCACTGAAGGTGACACATTACGTTGCTGTACTATAATCTTCTCTTTCCTTGATATATGTAATTTACCTGCATTTGAAAGAAACATTCAGATCTTACTGTTCTGTCTACAATTACCGTCAACAATCGCACAGTAAAAGTTTGTTCTGAGAAATGGGTATTCTTATATCAATTCCATGCGAGAAAAAACTACAACCGCATCAAAGATTTGAGGCAGAACAGATATGCAGAAGATCGAGTTGAAGAAGCAACGCATTACGTACAATTCTAATTCTGCGTCATTAGATGTCAGAAATTTTTAGTAACACCCTCTGCTTCCATGTTTGCTATTTTCCGGACAACAAATCAAAATGTTGGCCAAAAAACCTGAAAGTATGCACGAAAATACATATGTAGGTTGAGTTTTTGAGCTAGCCAACTCAACTTTTGAAGTTTTAAAAATTATGGAAAATCGGTGAAAATGCGGTATCTCCAATTTAAGCGATTATCCAGGCAAAAATCAATGATTTTGTTAGTGGATCTAAGAAGGGCGCAAGAAAGCGGTGATATAATGTGGATTATGAAGTTTTCCATTACATTACATTAAAGTATGTAGATAAACTTTAACCATCGAATCCTTGGTCAATTTAAAGACGAAATTACCATATGAATATGGGCTTTGTTTTCAAGCTAGAGCATATTAGCACTAAAGGAGATGATACTGTTCTAAAAAATTATAAAAGAATGGAACGTATTTTATTTTAATTAAGTACGCCCTTTGGTAAATATCACATGATTTACAGTTGCTTTCAGATCCTAAATGTACGTAGATACATATCATGACATCAAGTATTTTTTGAAAAAATAGCATGACATTGATTTGTTTTCATCGCAATACTTTCAATATTCAAGCATTTTGCTTATCTAGATACCTACGACGTACCCGAAAATAATTGAAATAATTCATCTTCTCAAATAAACTTCGACAGCTGTCAAATATTTGTTTTCTTGTCTGTTCATTCTATGATTCCAAATATTTCTAAGTTTTGGTGATTACTAATGGTCATAATGGTCCAGTTCAGTAGTCAAAAAAATGACAGGTATGCATTTCGTTTACGGAATAGCTTTGGGTAACCCTCGACGTGCACGACGTTTGTATGGTGAACGATTTCCACAACGCCTAATGTACAAACTTTCATCAACATTCGCGCTGGTAGTAAAATACAAATCGGACCCTTGAATGTACGTTCCTTCATGTCTAGTTTTGATGCTATTACAAAGACGTGGCTAAATGAAAATATTACTGATGATGTGGTTAATATTAGCAACTATCGTTTCTTGCGTTGTGATAGAGAATCTCGTGGTGGTGGAGTTGGAATCTACATTAAATCATTTGATTGTGAATTTTTACATGCTACAAAGGTTGGTGAGTATTTCGAAAACATTTGGGTGAAAGTGGTTGCGGGTAAGTGTAAACTGTTTGTAGGTGTTTTGTACTGACCACCCTCTCAAAGCATACGAATACAACAATGTGCAGATTTACTAAATGATTTCCTACCCAGCCTTTCGTTATATCATCATAACATCGTGATATTGGGAGATCTGAATATACATTTTTTTACTAACAATATATTCTCACCGAGTTTTGAGATGATGGGGTTCACACAAATAGTAACGGAAGCCACCCGTGTCTCAGATAGTACTGCAACATTAATCGATCCAATTTTTTAAATAATCCTCAATCATGCAGCTATTCTTCCGTCGTGGACACGAATGGTATTCCGGGCCACAAACTCGTCTTTTTTCATTTTGATTTTCCATCTTATAAAAGAGAACAAAAAGTTGTCACAATCAGGGATTTTGAAAACTTTCAGTGAGGATCATTTTCTTATCGATCTTTCTTCGGATATAGACGAATTATTTACGAAATCTAATATTGATGAGAAGGTGATGCACATTACAAGCGTTATCGTGGAAACCTATAACAAACATGTACCTTTTAAAACTGTAATAGTCAATAAGCCCCCATCACCTTGGTTAACTAATGAACTGTGCACTGTTCTTGAAGAAAAGAATACTGCTCAAGCTTTATATTAAGCTAGTAAAACCGTGGATGCCTATAATAACTTCAAACCGCTTAGAAATTTGGCAAATGGAAATGATTCAAAGAAATTGTGGAAGTCTCTCAAACAACTTAGTAGTAAACTACCCCTTCCAGCGAGTTTTAATGGCACTACCAAATTTAATGATTATTTTGTCTGCTTATAGCTACAAACTTGTTGATTCACTAGTTTGCGAGAACTATTTAAAAAATAAATTAAACTCTGAATATACCTTTTCATTGAATAAGATTAGTTCAAATGACGTATTACAGGCAATAAGGAGCCTCAGATGGTATACCTCTGTCAATGATCCAGCTTTGCCTGCCAGTTATTCTCCATCACATTGCACACATCTTTAACGACTGTTTGGAAAAAGGATACTTTCCAAATACATGGAAACAAGCTCTAATTATTTCAAATCCTAGAAAATGAAAACCACTGAGTATGATGATCTCAGGCCTATCAGTTTATTGCCAATTTTATCCACAATTTTAGAAAAAATAATCAAGTTCCAATTGACCGCTTACCTAGGAAAATTCTTTATACTTGCCGATACTCAGTCCGGCTTTAGAAAAAATTATAGTACAACATCTGCCCTACTCCATCTGCAAGACCATATTTCAAGTGCCTTAGACTATCCGAAAGCCTTTGACCACATCAAGCATAAATTATTACTTGTTAAATAAAATTACATATGTCTTGACAGTTTCATTTTTCGACAGTTACCTTCAGTGTGTTTTTCTCAATCAAGAAATGTCTCCAGTGACAATAATTCCGTCAAGCGTACCTCAGGGCTCTGTATTTGGGCCGCTGCTGTTCCTCATATATACGTTCGACTTAAGCAAAAGTATTGATAGTTCTCATCTCCAGTCATTTGCAGACGATACGCAATTGCTCCATTATTGTAACCCAGATAATATCAATAGTACTACTCAATTTTTACAAAACGTTGATAGTAAATTAATTAAATACTCTTCAGATCACAATCTACGTATTAATCCACAAAAATCTAAAATGTTATTATTTTGCGCACAAAGAAGAACATACAATGTAACACAGCTCAGATAAATAACCAAATCTTGCAATTTTCTGATTCTGCAAAAATTCTTGGTGTTGTTTTTGATACAAAAGTAAGTTCTATCGAACATGCTAAAAGTCTTTCCCAGAAAACCTACCTACGGCTACGTACTCTTATAGCAAACTTTTAAGTTGCGTAAAAAACTGTGAAGCATTGGTCATATCTATACTAAATTATTGTAATATTGTATACTACGCTTGTTTAGACAATTTCACTAAAAACGTTATTCAAGTTGTTCAAAACAATTGTTTACGTTTCATCTTTCGCTTACGTAAGTTTGATCATGTATCAGCGAAATATCCCGTTCTAAACTGGTTACAAATTAATGAGATGGTCAAGTATCACTATTCAGTTTTTGTTCACAAGTTGCTGCTCACGTCTAAACCCTCTTACTTGAGGAAAAAAGATTCATCTAATAATAATGTTCACTGTAGGACTCTCAGAGGAAATAATATTAGAATACCCCAGCATACGTCTACACTTTTTGAACGCAGTTTTTCCTACACTATTGCTATTATTCATAATGACCTTCGTAAAGTATATAAAGAATTTTCATTAGCTGTCTTCCAACAAAAAGTTAAAACAATATTACTCAGCCCTCCAAACATATAATTTACGTAATCATGCATTTCTTTTTTATTCCTTCTTTAATTCGAGTTAATAATTTTTGATGTACTTGGGTTTGGAAAGTATGCCTTTCGCTTATTTTATTTTTTACTTTTGATGTAATGAACCAAATCTGTTTGTGGATAGTGCATACTTTTGAACATCTGCTACCGACTATATGGTTAGAGTAGCAGCATGCTAAACTTCGCCATGTAAGTCTGACATTTGGCTATTCTACAGTGTAATTGTAGATAAATAAAGACGTCTATTATTATTAATATTATTATTATTATTAACTATGTGAATTATCATAACAGTCAAATTTGCAAGTTTCCTTTTTTTTCAGTCGGTGACATCTACTTTCACAAATCTTCACACTAAATTCGTTGCAGATAAAGTTATTGCTGTATCTTTTGCCATTTTCAGCCGGTATGACAGAAAATTGCGAAAAATGTCCTGTGACTATCAGTGAAATTGCTCCATATTCGAAATCGGCGCCCTACGTTGGCCCTGTCTGAGTTTTGTTAGTTTGTAGCTACGGGAGATTAAAAATTGAATTTTGAAAAATAAAGAGACCTTCAAGCTTACACATATTTAAAAATATACGTGTTTTTATATACACATGCTTTTTGACTACAAAAGGTAAACGTCATGTAAGGTAATAATGTCTGAACACATGAAATCATTAATTAAATCATTTATTTCATGTCATCTTCAAGCCCCGCCATAGTTCTCAAAAACATGCTGTAGGAAACCATCGTCTTCAAAGTCTGAAACAAAAAATAAATTATTCTACCATGTTGTTTGAAACAAATAAGATGTTTATTTCAGAATGCTATCTACCTAAAATATAATAGAGCAGCGAGCTATAGGCATGCTTCGAAAATACCGTGTGATTCAAATTAAACTCTCGCCATTGAGATCAGGGAAACGGTAAGAGAAACGAAATCGGTTGAACAGAGGCAAAGTTGTGCATTTAGGTAACTAGCAAAATGGTACTTGAAAGTTTCGCTATTCCGAGCATTTCTGCACAGCCACTTTTTCTCATCTACAAGACAACATAATTAATATTTTAATACGTCGTTTCGCCTCTTTATTTCATTTCATCGTTTTCTCTAAGATTTGACCTCGACCCCCGATTCCTACTTCAGATTAATGTTCAAGAATACATGAGAAAAATAGAGTCGAACCCCTAGCCGGCGACACCTTTGTGAAATTATAGCTTCAACATCTTGTATCTCGGTGAGAGCACGCTCTAAGCAGTGATGGGGATTTACACGTATATATTGATTCTCTACGTTTTCGTAGACAATGTATGCAATATATGTATATGTACAATGTATCCAATGTATGCAATGTATACCATGTATACAATGTATACGATGTATACATTGTATACATTGTATACATTGTATACATTGTATACATTGTATACATTGTATACATTGTATACATTGTATACATTGTATACATTGTATACATTGTATACATTGTATACATTGTATACATTGTATACAATGTATACGATGTATGCGATATATACAATGTGTTAAATGTATACAATGTATACAATGTGTACAATGTATACAAAGGCTGCCGTAGTGGCCGAAACGTGGTTAGTAGACATGTTCAAGCATATACGTATACAATGTCTACAATGTATACAACGGGTACAATGTATACAATGTATAAAACTCCTATCATAGTGACCGAACCATCGTTAGTAAACATTTTCAAGCACACGTTGACAAACATTGAAAATTATGAGACATGCGTGGAATAGGATATGAAATCCAGAGGCCTACCGTTCTTGTTGCAGTCCCAAAAAGTTGTCAGCTTTTTTAACTTGATCGACGATGCCATTGTATGCAATGTCTACATTGTTTAAATTGTATCATGAATATCGAGACGTTTTTAATGACCTTTTTTCCATTAAATGTCCATTTAGCACTGCGCTTTCAAACTAAGATTTTGCCGGAGACGGAGTTATGATCTATGATATATTGAGCTTCTTTGTTATAGCTCAATGTCGGTAGTGAATCATAAAACGAAAGTATATTTTTTTCCTCTATTCTAGCCCTCCATTCTCCAAATGCGACTTTATTTACTCACGAAGCTTTACGTAACGATTTATAATGCAAAAACAAGATTTTGGGGTACTTTAACACTTACAACGTGATTAAACGAATAAACTATATTAATCTAGAGATTAATCTATTGCGAATAACTGTATAGTCGTGGCGATATTGAAAGAAAACGGAGTTGAGTTTCGTGCTAATCTTAGACGACAAAGAAACCGAAGGTCACGTTTACACCCTACTGTTCGAGCCACGGTACATCAAACACCCGTGCTGTTCCGAGCGCTTACATTGCTCTTTGTCAAGAGATGGTGCAGGACCAGCCCTATCACAATAGAGGGTGTTTAGATAGAAACAAGGGTAACGAATCGTTAAGCTTGCCGTTACGTTATTTTTGACAGCAAATAAAGACGGTCGGAAAAACAACTGGTTTTATTACCAGTAAGGTGAACTATAGTAAATCAGTACATTGACATTGGTGACTAATGACAGTCATGATGGGTTGTTTATTTTTTTCGGTTTTGACAACTCAATTCTTTGAAAACACTGCCTATTTCTTGCATTTAATTGTATCCATCATCTAGAGCTCAATATTATGTATATTTTAACCAGTATGTTTTTATGGATTGAAATTATTTTAGTCAAGCTTACCCAACTTTACTTAATAAGCCCTACCTATTTTCCGTACCTAACGTTTGAAATTTTGCTGCACAAAATCGAAATACCGGAGGTCAAAATGAAGCAGCAAAACGAGAGCTCTAAAAATTCTCTATTGACTTTACACTATATTAATGAAAACACAATACTTGTAGTAGCACGTTACTGCAAATTTAGAAAAATATCACTGAAAAACAAATTCACACAATACATTATTCATCTCTTATTCCATGCTACTAGATCCCCCAAGTGATATTGGCACTAAATGACTTTCATTTAAAATGCACCCAAGTCCTCATCCATTTGGAAGTTTTTAAAAAAATATTCAGCTAGAGTGCAAGGGCAGGAGCAGATAAATCATAGCCAGTTCTTAGTAACAGATGTTTCTATGGCCGAATGCGAAGATAGCGCATTTGTATATACATAGGGCTGCTACTGTAAGCAGATTGTATCGGATAAAGGTTTTCTTGCAAGAGTCTCTACAAATAATATTAAAAATCAATCTAATAACTCTTTTCTGCGGTACAAATACGCCTATCTACCATACTTGTCTGTCCTCAAACTGTTATGTTGTCGCAGACGTGTGTATAGATTAACGCATAGTACATACTATATATACTGAGTGTATATGTTGTAATAGTTTATTTAGAGTACTGCGAAGTATCATTTTCATTTTCTTCCAGGCATTATTTATATGTTCCCGCCATGCTAGTTTTCCACACACATGCATATCAAGAAAAGCAGTCACATCTGAATTACTTCAAAAGGTACCAAGAATTAGCGGACAAACCGACAAGCGGAGAGACTGGCAGGCAGACCGTCTAAAATGAGTGATATGGTTTTTCGTGTTGCATGTGTCATATATCATCTAACAAAAACATAAAATTTCGTTTTTGAGTCTTTTTGTGATCACAAAACTATATCTCCAACTGTTGACCATTTCATTCAGTCTTCGGCATCGCGAGAATTGCACTACACCAAGCAGGCTTTGGATTGATAGATTACGCACCATTCGCTTATGCTAGTCCCCAGCAATTTCATAACATCTCCTAAATTAAAACAACATTCGCCAGTAAAGAAGCTTTAAATAAACCGAATGTGATATCTGCACCTCACAGCGCACGGAATAGATGTGTTGGTGCTGCACCATCTCTTGGCCCAGAGCGTTGTAAACGCACAGAACAACACCACGATGTGGCTTGACAATGTATAAACATGATCAAGATTACACTTACCGCTATTCCAGTTTGCAGGTTCATGTTAAGAAAGCCACCAGCTGTGAGCATGACATTCATTTGGCTTTTTCCTTGAAGTAACAACATTGCTTTAGCATAAGGTGCTGTGCTACCCACGTGTTCGTACCATCTGCTGTCGTACAAGCATTCAACAAGCTTTCCAGACTGTGAACAATAAGTGACTTTCTCAATTATCTCAAAACATACAGGAAGCCCTCAAACTTGGGACACAGCGTATAGGTCAGGCAATAATACGATTGTTATTTAGTAAGCTTTAAGATAACCGATATATTAGGTTTCGGAAAAGCAATAAATGAATAAGCACGACCCTGTCATCCTCCCTTCCCATAAGCCCCTCCTACGTCAAAACGTATGATGTTGTTCTAAGACCACGTGTCAATATCCAAATCAGGTGTCGCGTGGTATCTAGTTTAACTTAGTTTATGAACAAACAGAAATTGGCACATTCCTAAAGTAATAACGTAGGTATATATTGTATTTGATATGCGGATCTTCAAGATTCTATTGATACACAGCTCGTCCTCGTCGTCCTCGACGTTTATTTCCATCAGAGCTGCATAGGTTTCTTTATATCGTGCAAAAGCTGGCTGGATGAACACAGCTTAAGACCTAGATAGCGAAGAGATAAACAAACTCGTGTTTTTTAATCGAACAGCGATAACTTCAGACAGGGTTTGCAAACATGTGAGAAGGCAGTACTTGCCAAATGAATAGTAAGAACTTTGCTATAATTTCGTTTAGTTTTTAGTCAGCTTTGGCATTGTAAACACAGTGGAAAAAATTCCCCAACTCTCAGGATACCCTGTATTTATCTAATCTCCTCAAACTGCAGATTAAACCTCATTGTCCTCAATAGTTCACCCTCTACTTCACGACAACGTATTGATAATGATATAATAATAATAATGCATGGGAATGTACAGAATGAGTTTTTTTGAAGATCAGTGGCGTTCATGTCGTCAACCCATTACAGGGCGCAACGAATGTTTACAAGAAATTAGTGTCAGTATCTTAAAGCTAGTACTATTCTGCTTGAAAGCTGCCTTTTGGAGTTAACAGCTGAAAAGCGCCGTTTTTTCCACAACTAACCACAGAAATTACCATTGTTGACTGCAATGCTCCACTGAGAAATAACGGTACAGCAATAGGGGTAGCGTCAGCGTTAAAAATCGCATTTAGCGCGACAGCTGCACGTTCACACCACCGCGGTACGGCAGTTTTCTTATCTGCGCGATATTCTCAAAACAATTTTTATTTTTTAAACAGTATGTCTGGTGGAGAAGAACTGTTATTATTATTGGCCTTAGCAGAAGGTAAAAGTCGCAAAAGGTAAGTATTGATGATAATCATTAGTTAATAACAATTAATAATATCATTGGTTTGAATCTATGAAATTGAAAGCTGTGATATAGTCTCAGTAGTGAAAACATTTCTACGAAGGTGGTCTGAAAAGTTTCGGTCCTAACAAAGATACAAGAGATTTCTTCTGATTTTTTTTTATCTTTCAACATAGCCCCCTTCTCCCAGCGATGCTCCTTTCTCTGTAACCCGTACAAATAATACTTGGCGTTTCTGCTCTTAACTGGTACAAACTATAATGAATTATTTAAGGGATCATCAAATCGACATGCTCCTTATTTATGGTGATGCCAAAAAAATTCAAGGCGCGCCGCCGCAACATTATATCAGGAGCGGTTTTCAGATCGTCAAGCCTAGTATCCTGGCTCGTAGAACATTTGAAAAATCAACATAACGATCCTGCTAATTATAATGGTTTATAGTAAGCGAAGAAGTTGAAATAAACGTCCTAGCGTACGTAGAATATGATCGTACTGCTTCTACTCGCGAAATCGGTGAGCGGTGCCAAATTTACCACGACAGTGCAAGAAACATGGCTTTAAATCTTTTAAGTACCAAATTCATCACCATCTGTTTGAAAATGAGTTTTCAAGACGGCTTAATTATTGCAACTGATTTTTGAATAATCTGAACATAAATGCTGTCTTCCATCACCACTATTTTTTCGAATGAATCCAGGTTTACTAATCTAGGGATGTTTCATCAAAACACTCGGTATTGGGCTAAGGAGAACCGAAGGTTGGTGAGAGACGGCGCCTTCCAGGAACGTTTTGGAGTGAATGTTTGGTTAGGCGTAGCAGGGCTTAATATCGTTGGTCTTCTTCTTCTTCTATCAACCGTTAAATGGTTATATGTACTTGGAATTTTCCAAAACCAAATAGAACATTTTATAGAAAATCTGCAGAACAACGAACACTTATTAGCAGCAGGATGGCGCCCGTGCGGTGGAAATTGGCTAATAAACAACGGACCAATCCGTTGGACTGCAAGATCACCAGATTTAACCCGTCTGGATTTTTCAATTTGGGGATATTTAAAAAAAGTTTATGTCGCTCCTCGACCGTCTCTAGAAGTACTGGAAAATAGAATTAGAACAGACATTGAAAACATATCTCAATAACATTTACCAAAATTGCTTATAGAAGACATCAAGAGAGTCAGGTTGTGTCAAAAACTCAGCGGCCAACGCATAGAACACTTAATTGAATGAGTTTTCCTAATTTTTAGTTAGTAATTTATCTGCTAAGTTATTTGTTATTTAGATACTTCTTCTACTTAGTTTTTACTATGCTAATTTCCATTATTGTTCTTGTTATCGTTAGAAAAAACAATACAAAAGAAACGTACTGTTGAGCATTTCTCTTTCGAAAATAAAACCCTCTTTATTGTTAGCATTTATAAAGCTCCGTTTCGTATTCAAAATTCTGAGAAAACTTTAAATACATTTTGACATTTTAAGTAAAAACAAACATGGAAAGAGAATCTATTTTGCCTCTTAAGTTAGTAAGTAGTTCGGAAAAAAAATCCAAACGCCGCAATATTGAATTTAGCTTAAATACCATTTATTCCGCCATTTTGAAAAAGAATGACAACTTGTGATGCATCGTTGAAAAGGAAATTTTAAGCTCTATGGAAATATCAACAGGGTTCTATTTAAAATTGTTGTTTCATACTCACTTCCGGTCAAACCGAACGCGATATCCAGTTCTTTTTTAATGGATAATCTGGGTTTTTATAAGCCATATCTTCACACAAAATTTCAAGGTTCTTATTTAAACTGCAATTGAATAGTGCCTTGTAAAACGATTCCGTTGACACCCGGTATAATGTCCTTAAATATTTAAACGCAAAAACTTCATAAATGCTATCCTCAAGGTTTGAGTCATTTTTGGGGTCAAAACCCCACTTAAAAACTCTGATCCCTTCTTATCCCTTGTTCACATACTTAGTAGAGATAAGTACTAAATCTACCCTTAATCTTTTCACACCTTGTATGTGTGTACAGCTTTCGTGTACAATAAAATGCTCAAATAATTATGATAATTATTCGGATAAAATAACATAATTATGCATTGCAACATATACACATACACTGCGTTGTAACTATTCAAAAAGCATTATACCGGGTGTTTCAAGTCCTACCCTCATCACTGGAAACTCGGAAACGGATATACGAAGTCGATTAGGTGAGGGCAAAGTTGCGAGACACCCGATATGCTAAAATATAGCCTAATTCAAATGATGTTAGTGTGTATTTAGTGAAATATATTACCTCGTCAACTAACTCCTGGAAAGGAACGCAATAACAAATGAAGAACTCGAAGAATATCAATGCTGCATAAATCAATGCACGGACGATTCCTTGGAAAGAGTTCCTGAAACAATTTTTAATGTGAAATTTTAATTGTCTAACTGATGTCACCAAGCGCATAGTTCTCTCCAAAAGCAACTGGCAACCATATCTTGAAGTTGTGGAGATAGCAAAAATGTAAAATATAGACAGGTACTTTTAAAAAAATACAAACAATCCAACTGTAAAGGAGCTGAAAAGAATTGTGATATTAAGAGAAAGCCCATGTGTCAAAATCTATCAAGCGATTTTAGCGGTTATATTTTGTTCTTGTAGAAAACATGTAAAATCAGTTGTTGAGTTTCATTTTGTTTTGTTTTTGTATTTATAGAAAACCTCTGTGTTTGTGTTATGTGTCCGCGATATATGAAAATACACTTTTCATATAGGGCGCTGCATTGCTCAAAAGCCGTCACTGATTTTTTCTTCCTACCGATTTGGTCCTTGAAGCTACCGAATTTCTGTTTTCTACGTGATTATTTGCAGTAAAATGCAAAATGCGACTCTTCGCTTGTACGAATAAATATCACTAAAGGATTTTAGGAAAACAGAAATATAGTTTGTCAACAAGTATCATGTACGAGTCCCTTCCCACTTCAGTTGGCACAACTATTGAAATCTTATTTTTTTCTTATCAAACACAATTAATAAAAATGTAGCAGGGTGTTATAGGTTTAAAATCTTAACAATGAATATTTTGATAATATATAGTAGAAAACACCAACAAAATAACACATGTTGCAATTACAGCATACCAACCTATTTTCATTTCAATGCGAAATAAGTCTATAACGCATAGGTGGCTGTGAAAATAAAAGCCATGACAATTGTTTTTATTAATCACAGCTGTCAGAATACGTTTAAAATAATTTTGGGTAGTTAAGGTTTTCAAAATGGGTAGAGGAAAGGTTATTAGTGAGAAAATTCGGTTACTGGTAATTAAATGTTTTAATCCTGGGAAATAAAACTCAGAAATTGCAACTTTGTCTGACTTATCGCGGTACAGTGTGAGAAATATTGTTAGAAAATATAACGTAACTGGTTCAGATAATATTAAGCCACGATATGTGAAAAAAAGTAATATCACAAATGCCGACCCAAGAGCATTAAGAATTCAGATAATATTAAGCCACGATATGTGAAAAAAAGTAATATCACAAATGACGACCCAAGAGCATTAAGAAGAATAATCGTGAAAAACAGGCGTGCCAATTATTTACAATTAAGTGCTCAGTGGAGTGACGCTGTTGGAAGGAGAATTTCGAGGTCCACAACTCATAGAGAGGCCCACAAACTGGGATTTAGCACCTGCAAGGTAAGTTTTCTTATAAAAAAAGTGAAGTAAAAACCCTAAAGTTGCACAACTTGTTTATAGGCCAAAGAAAAGCCACTATTAACTCCACTGCAGAAGAAAAATCGGCTTAGATGGGCTAAAGAAGTTATTCGCAAAAAAATGAAGCATTCCATGTTGGCTGTCTGAAGAGAAAAGTGAAATTTCCAGAATCCATTATGGTCTGGGGCAGTATGTCATCAAAAGGAGTAGGAAAACTTCATTTTATTGATGGACATGTGGATACAAACAAATATTTGGCAATTTTAGAAGAATTGCTTTTACCAGTGATGGAAGAATGTTTGACATCCGGCCAAGATTTTGTGTTTCAGCAAGATGGTTCAGCGTGCCATACCTCAAAAAAGGAAGAAAATAATGTACCACTTTTGAAATGAGTTTCTGGCAGTCCAGATCTGTCACCTATTGAAGCTTTGTGGCACGAGATGAAAAAGGTTATACGACAACATCCTGCTCGGACAATCACCGAACTGAGACAAAAGCTTCAAGAAATATGGTATTGTTTTACATCAAATTTTTGCCAAAACCTGGTTAACACTATGCCCCGAAGAATTTCAGCCGTAATAAAAAATAAAGGTGATGTTACCCAATGGTAATCTTTCAATTGGGGCTTTGTTAACTTCGTGCATTTATTCGCACATTGTTTATTTGTTCAGATGTTCTATTAGTTATAGGTCTAAGTGAATTCAAATATGTATTTTTTACGACTAGAGTGTATATAAAATGTTTTTGAGAAAATACATTGTTTTAGAAGTAAATAGTTTCGCCATTTTCAGTTTATAAAGGCATATTTTGGTACAAATCTTGAAGTGGGCCAACTGAAGTGGGAAGGGGCTCGTAGTTTGAAAATGCTTGACTAAAAATCAAGTAGAACAGTAAAAAAATTAAACCAAGCCAAGCATTCACATTCCAAGTAATTTTATTTTCAAGTCAAATAGTTAATCAAAATATCAAGCTACTTGAAAAATCCCTAGTCGCGAGAGTACGCGTAAACCTGGGCTTACTACAATTTTGTAAGGTCAAAATGCCGGAATTTAACAGATACGGCTTCATTAGATGTGCAGAAAAACATAGACTTTGTTCTTGAGTAGCTTTTTTCGGAAAGATGGCAACGATATTCTCTATCCAAGTGGCGTGTATGTTTTCCAAAAAAAAAATAAAAATTGCCGAGTTGGCCCTTGCTGATAGAGCTTGTAGCATGCTTACTCTGAAAACATGCAAAAGGACATGATCTCACAGGGATACTTACATAGTCATAATATAGTACATCTCTAGACACAGAATCAGTACAACCATTCCAAGGTACATGAGCATCATTGTTGATAAGGTGTTGTTTAAGAGAGTCTTGAAACTGAAATGCAAAATTCTAATTAAAAGATCTAGGTGCACTCTGCTGACGAAGAAACGACATATAAGAGTCCCTTTTGATGTCGCTGCATGTTACTATTGTCACCACGTAACTCTAGTTACTGACGGATCAATTTTGCTGAGCTTTTGCCAAGTTATTTTCCATATAGTAGGTGGTAGACGGTCTCTAACTATCGAACGCGGAGGTACTACCCAGCGGATCTCGTGGGCGGTCTCAAAATGTGTGCGTGTTGCATGCACACGTGTTCCCTCGCCAAAGTCCGTGTGGCGTCCCCCCCCCTCTTCCGCCTGTTTCCCCGTATAGCCCCACGGTACCACATGGGTGGTGTTTAGGCCTTCGTGGTAATTGGAGTATAAAAAAATGAAATATGCTAGGTTCTCAGGAATTGTCAGTGTCACTGACAGATAATACAGGCATATTCTTTAATTCCAACTGCTGCGTACATTGCCATGATGATTTTAAATGATACGGTGTTCCAATTAACAAGTATCCATTTACGACAGCAACCTGAAGGCTAAAAATGCGTCTTTTTATTAACGACCATTCAACGGAATCGGTTGCTGACGTCATCACATCAGCTGTCAACCATAAGTTCACCGGATCCATCAGTGATGGAATCAACCGGTGAATTAAAGAATATACCTTACCCATTACCTGTGACAATTTTCCCGAGATCATCTTATAAATTATACTAAGTGACATATAAATCCGAACATCCAGTTTAAATGGTTTTATTTTAATAAAATTTTGTATAAGTACTTAATGTAGCATAATAAGTAAATGATAAAAATTTCAAAATGATTGCACTGCTTTAAAGCCCTTTGACCTTTAATAATGTGTGGATGCACCCTGATGTGCTACGCATTCTCCAACGCGCCTAGGCATGCTTCTGATCAGAGGTGGTCAATGTCCTCCTGTGGTATCTCATTCCAGGCAACCACCAACTCCTCTCGAAGTGCTTCTAGAGCCTGAGGAGGACGTTGCAAATTGAGGAATCTCCTACCCATCATATCCCACACGTGCTCAGTTGGGGATAAGTCGGGAGATCTTGGTGGCCATAGTAACAATGTGACATCATTATGTTGAAAGAAGTCTATTGTGACTCTTGCAACATGTAGTCGGGCATTATCTTGTTGGAAAGTTGGATCTGCCTGGGTGTCAAGATAGGGTAAAAGATGGGGTTCTAGAACTTCGTGGATATAACGCTGCGCGTTCATGTTACCTCTGATGAAGATTAAAGGTGACCTGGAACCATAAGCTATAGCACCCCAAACCATAACTCCAACAGTGTGATGAACATGTCTTTCAACAAAAAACTGTGGATTGCTCCTTTCACCACGTCGCCTTCTAACCCTGGCACGACCATCGTGCATGCCTAAACAAAATCGAGACTCGTCACTAAAGACAATACTGTTCCATTCCTGATCCCAGAGTGACCGTTGTCTGCACCACTCAAGGCGATTACGTCGGTGTTCTCGAGTTAAAGGGAGGACCCACTGTGGCCGGTATGAAAACAAGCCAAAACTTCTCATTCGTCGGTAAACACTTCGCATGCCAATAGGTCTTCCGTGTTCTGCAAACCATTCATTTGCAATGGACCTGGTAGTGGAGAAACGGTTCCAGGCCAATAATCTTAGGCGGCGATCTTCACGGTCTGTTGTTCTACGGCGGCGTCCAGTGCCCCTTGCTCTTTGCGTACGGCCTTCTCGAAGCCATGCCTGACAACACCTAACCACAGTGTCTACACTTCTTTGCACTCTAACTGAAATTGCCCGAAAAGAAAGTCCGGCTTCCCGAAGTCCCACTATACGGCCCCTATCAAACTCACTAAGTTGACGAAATCGTACAGGTCTCCGTACTCTAGGCATCGTAACCGATCGTAAAGGATGTCAAGAACCAAAATCCGCCAACGTTGATTCTTTACTGCGGCTGAAATATTCATTTTTAGAGCGTTAGTGAATTAAAAAAAGCAGTATAAAAACCGGAATGTCCAACTGATAAGGCTGAAATTTTTTTCACTTGTTATTTACAGTAAGATAAATACATTCACCAACTTTTATTAGAATAAAACCATTTAAACTGGGTGTTCGGATTTATATGTCACTTAGTATATTTAATCTTTATGCCGGCTATTTCCGATTCGACCAGTTTCATTTTGGAAACGTTAAAAGATAGGAGGGCGGTTAAATGGGGTCAAACTTTTAGTAAATGGCGTCAAGTAGGTTGAATCTGCAACGCCGTCATCAGTTCATAAAAGATTAAGTTCAGCTCAATTTAAATCATCCGAGAAAAAAGTCAATTACGAACATATACAACAGGGAAATTAAACGGTTTTTCATTATATAGAATATGTCATAAAACATTCAGAAAACACGTTTTCGATTTTTTTTGCGATTACAATACTTCCTCGCTCAGTCGCGTAGGAAGTAAGGTGGCAATGTTATTGATAAATAATTTTGAAATTCCACCTTAAGTAAAGTCAGGAGACTATAAAAACGATTTTATGAAAAGTTTTATTTTTAAATAATCTGAACTGCGAAACTTTGTCATTTTCTTAGTTACCTAAATGCGCAACATTGTCCACTCATCGGATTCCGTACACCTTACAGTCTCTGAGATCCTAGGTTAGGTTAGGTTAGGTTTCTTGTGAGTGCATCAATAGCGATCCTCCACTGCGACTCTTTGGTCTATTGTGACTCACACCTATTTATATTTCCCCCGGAAGCTCAGACCTCTTGAGGAAGTCGATTCACTTGTTTGGAGAAATATCCTTCAGGTCTTCCGCTTGAAGTACTACATCTCCAAGTATTCTGGCAATTGCAGGGCATCAGCACACTACATGCCTGACTGTTTCATTTCCCTCCATACACAGTCTGCATTCAGCGTCTTCCGCCATGCCCAGCCCGCTCATGTGGTGACGCAATTTGCAATGACCAGTGTACAGTCCTACTAGAGCTTTGAGGCTATTCCTGTTCCGCCGTAGCAAAGAGTCTGTTACCTTCTTTGTCAACATTGACATAGTTTCCTTAGCATGGGTTAATCCTGCTGATCCCTTCCAGTATTGATGGACCTTTCTGTCCATCTCTGCAGAGATTATTTGTTTAGCCGTATTGTATGCGATCCCCACCGATGGCTCAGGCCCTATGAAGGGTATGCTAGCCCCACTCTTTGCCACCGAGAGCTTCTTTGCAGTTCCACACTAATTTTGATGTCGAGTGCTTCAAGTGCTATTTGAAAAAATTATTATAGTTCTGTATATCAGTTCTCGTTCTGCGATCATTCTGGCACCCAGTTCTATAGCATGTAGCTCTGCCTGGAAGATCGATGCCCAAGTTCCTAAAGTAACAGGTTTGGTAATATTAAGCTTCGGCATGAAGATATCAGCTCCAACACCTACATCGGTCTTGGAGCCATCTGTGTATGCACAGATATCTTTCCTCATCAGGTTAGCTTGCTGTTCCCACTCATTCCTGCGTGGAATTGTCACTGAGTAGGGTTTAACATATCTTGTTATTTTTGTCATTATATCAGAAGGCATTTCCAGACTGTGATGGTTTTGTAAGTCCACCAGCATGTCCGTCTCCTCCATAGTGATATTGTCCATTATACCATTTGTCGCATGATGTAGTCTATAAGATGTCCTTCTTGCCTCGCTGTCCAGGTATATGTGCAAGGAGGTAAATTAAGAAGGAGTTCCATAGCTGCAGTTGGTGTGGTACGTAAGGCACCAGTGATCAACATACAATCTTTTCTCTGTATTGCGCTCAGTTTGGCTTGGACAGTTCTCTGTGCTGCCTTGCCCCACCAAGCTACAGATCCATAGGTTATCATAGGCCTAATAATCATGGTATAAAGCCAAAACAATTGCTTAGGCTTCATTCCACAGTTATTTCCACAGACCTCTCGGCAAGACAGTTGCCTTCTTAAAGACTGATTCGAGATCCTAATGGTGAAGGTCAAATTTTAAACAATCTGTGTATATTTTTTTAGACATATGCAGCATGGATAGAAACCTAAATACCGGAGTACCGCGACTGCTGATGGATATTAAAGACAGATTGCTAATGTTTCTTGAATGTTAGCAGAATCGGCAATAATAGCTACACCCAGGAACAAAGGAGTGGTCGTACCGCCCAGCTCCAGTTCTACGAAGCTCGGCAGAGTTGGTTTGAAAGACAGAAGCCTGGCAGATCCGCATGGATATCATGTAAAAAACCTATAAAACGTTAAAAAAACCTATATGATGCCATCTTGCAAGCTAGGTAGTTTTTTAGAGAGCAAACATTCCATTCCACGTTTGCTCACTAGGATCGTTGTGAACGTCCATCTAAGGAGGAATCACTCAACTAAACTAAAGGCATTATTGGTTGCATATGTTTTGTGAGGCCAAATGGTTCTTGTCTCTGAGAAGAAAGTTGGTTGAATAACACGATCGCATCTATTTTTTTTTTTTTATATCGAAACAGCCGCGCAGGCAGAAGCCTAAATGCCGGAACACCGCGGCTGCTATGATGATCCCAAAGAAATTTTGTTAATACGATTTTTGAACTGCCTAAGGTTAGTAGAACTGGGAAAAGCTTCCTCCCGTAGATTGTTCCACAATCTAGACACCATCGGGACAAAGGAGCGGTCGTATCGGCCAGTTCTGGATGTACGAGGTTTGACACGGTTAGGACGGGACGCCGAAGTCAGGCGGGTCTGTCTGGCAGGCACATCGCGCGGCGGCATCATAGAAGAGAGCTCTGAGGAGATGATTATGTGTGTTGGTCTGTATGTGTATAAAATCAGTGATATTTGCTGGGCGAGAAAATCATAACTGAATATGCTGCCGATGAAGTATATCTATTGGCTGTGCCTGACGGGTTATTTTTATGTTGTGTTTTCTGAAGAGATGTTATGTTCAAAGCTATAAATTACGAAAATCTGAGGAGAATTATAGTTAGCATGTATATGGCTGCTAATTCGACAGTGTATAGTGAATATATGTAATTATTTATTATCTCTCTCATGTTTTAAATTCAGCAAATTTGTATATGTAATTTCCAGAATGGATAAGAAAAAGTGGATGCGCAACTAGCTTTGAATCTCAATTAAGTGTATTTGAGACACGAACCCAATGTAATTATCATCAACACGTACAACTTACAGCTTAGACCTCCAGTAATACCTTCTCAGAAGCAGATTTTACATCACATCAGAGCCAAAGATTGATAACGAGCCTCATGATGTTTAGGCAACACGTACACCTAAGTGCTAAGTTAATATCTTGTAAAAAACCTGCATGATGTATCTTGTAAAAAACAGCATAATGTCAAAAAGATCGGCATAATGTCACTTGGTATCCGTCTGACAGAATCAACGCTATTCTGAAATTGAAAACATCACATACAAGTATGTACTTCATATACTTACCACAGCAAGAACGAAAGTTGATCATTGCATCTCGTAAACTTATCCTTTATGGTGAAATAATCAGAAGCTTCTGCAAAAATATTTTGCATCTCGTATGCTAAAAGCTTGAACTGTATGGCAGTAAGTGACACGATGCTAAATACGGTGCAATCTATAGTAATATCCAGCAGCGATAAGCCGTAGCCAGGGATATGCATCCATAAGAACATAAACCAAAATGGGACGCCCTTTGGTAGGTAAGACTCGAACAGCAAATTATCTCCGTCTGCTGTTCTAAAAAAAGAAGAAAAAAGAAGAAAAATAGAGTTTTGCGGTTGTTAAGTTTAAAGTGCGAAGTTCTAGTTTCTACACACTAATAATAACAACGCCTCCTGTCCTTCCTCGGTCAGTGATGGTAAACGTGTCATGTGTTACGACAGATACTTATCGCGGTTATTTTTACAAAAAAAACTATATTTATACATAAATAAATTTAGTTTTTTTAGTATTTTGATGCAAAAAATATTATTATTTTACTCAGTTACAATTTTTCAGTTTTAGCTGATTGTTGAAAGAATGAAAATGGTTGCACGCATTACCTCAAAATTTCTCTTTCATTTGGAATTACAGAAAAGGCAAAATGGACCGGACAATACGTGCCTTGGTCCATTTTGCCTTTATATTGCGGCATATAAGTGTAAAGTTTTGCACCTTTTTGTTTTTGTTTCAGATTGTTCATAATTATTAAAGAAAAACAAACCGGCAGTTATGAGACGAGGAAAATAGGGAGCACGCATTCCAAAAAAATAAGAATTCAAAAATAGGTTTTAGAAAGGCCACCGAAACTTACGGTGTTCCAAAGACAACATTAGATTTAGATGCAGATAACCAAATTTTGTATGTTACTGGATCATCTAACGGAATAGGAAGAAGACATGTTTTCCTGTTAAGTCAAAAATTATTATGTCTTTTCAAAAACAACGGCGACCAAATCAAAAAATGTAAAACGTGATAAAGCTACTGTGATAACTTCGTCGCAGTATCGGGGGGAATTTAAAGAACTTCTTAACGCGTGCGAAACAAAAAAGTGGAAAAGAATCAGAACCTGGAAGTGAAAACTAAAACGAAGGTCATTAAAGGAAATACTAAGAAAACAGGAACAAAGCAAAGAAACAGAAAGGATTTCACGTCTGTTGGAGAAAACGAAGATACAGAAGTTTGACACGGTGATGGGAGGCCAAAGTCAGGCGGGTCTGTCTGGAAGGCACATCTCGCGGCGACATCATGGACGTGAGCTCTAAGGAGCAAAGTTCCTTTCTTGTAGCGGTAGAAGAAAGCTATATCGTCGACGGCCCGCCGGTGAAAAGGGTCCCGAGACTGTCTGTTAGAGAAGTGTCATCGGTCAGTCGGACAGCCTTCCTCTGGACAGCATCGAGCATAAATAATGCAGTTGGGGCGGCAGCACCACAAACATGTGAGCAATACTCGAGGCTAGGCCTTTTCTGGGCCTTATATAGTGTGAGAAGGTCATGCGGAGAAAAGTACTTCTTAGCCCTAAACAAATGGCCTAGCTTTTTCCCAGCAGCTGCCGCTATTGACGAGATGTGTTCATGCCAGATCATGTCCTCGTGATCTGGACCCCGACCCCGATCAGCCAAAATGAACGACTCTTTGGCAGAATTCGACCAACCATCGAAACCGATTCGCCACGGTACAGTACAGTGTTTTGGAAGCATTAAACTGAGCAATATTGTGGCGTCCCCAAGCAGTGATAGCCTCCAGGTCTCTCGTCAGAGAGGAAGTCGTCGCTAGTCTGCTTTTTTCCAGCTCAGCGGCAGAGATCGGCTTGTCACTCTGAGTTCCTGCATGTAGAGTGCTATCATCAACGAAGCTGTGGATTGCGTTGATCGTGCAGGAAAGGAGATCGTTGATATGAGCCACGTGGGAACTGCCACATTATACGATGGAAACACAGTAGTGCCGCCTAGAAATCTGGAAACATGGACGCCCACACTGGAGGTCTGGGGTACACCGTGCCAGCCTCCTTCCGCCGCTGGGAATGTGGGAGTATCTTGAATTTTGCATAATTGGTATTTTCGATGGTTCTTAGAATTTGTCCCCCCCTGGGAAAATGTACTAAATCGTTCTCTTCAAAAAGTTTTGGAGGCAGATACTCTTTCACAAAATATTACCTCTTGGACCCCTCAGAAAAATTCTTGTCGGCGCCCATGCACGTAGATAATCCATTCCGAGAGTAGAGTGAGTTTACGTCCGGAGTTCTTAGTGCTCGAGGGATCCATCATCATTAATTCTTTGTTTTTGTAGGACTGCATAGCTTAGGTGTGGAAACATGCGGACATTTATAAAGCACCCTGGGAAAAGCTAGCGGTGGTACTGCCTCGGTCGACTGGTCCTTGTCTACCACCTTCTTTTTACGTATTAGTGATGTTAAATAGACCTAAAGTGGCCTGTTGGCGGACTTGTACAGCCACCCGGCAATCGATACTGAGGTATTCCTTATCGCGTGGACAATCACTTGAACGGGAAGAAGTTGTATACTGGATACAACAACTTCCGGAACAAGCATTTGCCACGGCTCCACTCGGTAGGGTAGGGAGTATTTTGGAAAATAAATTTATTTTACGAATATTCTAAATTTTCTCTCCAAATCTTTGTTTCTTAAAACGCAAGCTAAACAAGACACGCGATTTCAGGATTCACATAAAACTTGAAACTTTAGATTTCTCAAAATAAATCAATCGTATACTATGATCCTTGTACCCGTTGCTCATATAAACTAATTTTTTTGAATACCATACTCCCAGGTAATTCTAAGTGCAAATGTTGGCGTTAATAACACCAATGGTTTTTATAGCGCTTGAAGCACACTGCATCATAATTTCAACAAGAGTTTCAAATCCAATATATACCTGTTTTCGATCAATCTTCCGTAATAATATGACAAAATGCAGCTCAAGAGAACACTGACGTATGAGCGATATTTGATTTTCAATATTTTCATTTTCTGTAGGCATTCAGCTTTCAGTTCTTTGTTTCTGCACTCTTCGATCTTCCAGAATCTCTCATCCATATCAACCAGTAGTTGCATGACGTTTGAACGTTGAATAAATAGGAAAGTCAAAGATAGTACAGCCTGCAAGTATAAGAAAAATGAACGTTCGTTTTCTAATTTTCGAACGACATTGTGGGAGCTCATAATATCATTAGTCCATGACCTTCTGGACATTCAAAACTTTCTCACGTACAAGTTCTGTACTAAACATGAGCTAATTTTTTGAGGGGGGCCAGATAAATTAGAGAATTATCTGGGGGAGCCAAAAAAAATTGACCAAAACAAGTCTTTATATGCGATAAACTATCTTTGATTTCTACGTTACAACAACATGCCAGGTGTTTCCAATTCGATGCTCACAATTCTCGCAAACGAAGTTGCTCAAATTTGGGCAAAGTTACGTAAAGGTAATTAACAGACTGTTGTTCAGAAAATCTTGAAATTCAGAACTTCCGTAGAGAGACGGAAAAGCAGAGTTTTCTAAAAATCGTTTCAATCTAATCCTGACTTTATTTGTAGTCGGACCTAAAAATAAATTGCACATGCCCATTGCTACTTTTTTCTCCCTTATAAGATGGCATAATTATATTTCCAATATGACGTTTTATCCTTTGTCCTCCAGCATCAACTATATTTTTTTACTATGTACGCCATATTGAATTTTTGCACAAATGAATAGTTTTTAATTTTGATCCCAAAAATGTACGTAGTCGTGCCATAAGTTCTGTCCCATGATAATCTCATGATAAAAATGAAACAAGATAAGATATATTTATATGAAAGATATTATTTATTCGACAACATTTTTAGAATTCATAATCAAACAGTTTTATTCAAAATGTCCCCCCTTGGCCTTCACACACTGCTTCAATCTCGCGGGCCACTCATCTATCACTGCACGCACAGCTTCCAAAGGAATAGCTGCCGCTGATCGGATCAAATCCGCTTTCAGGGACTCGATATTACGGTGGGCTTTGGAGCAGGCCAACTGCTCTAGCAGGTCCCACAACTTGTAGTCTAAAGGATTGAGGTCCGGACTCCCTGAGGGCCAATCTTCCGCAGCAATGAACTCTGGCACATTGCTTTCCAGCCAGCGCTGCGTACTCTTAGCCTTGTGAGCGGGGGCGGAATCCTGCTGGTAGACCCAGTGTTGGTTGGCAAACAATGTACCACTTAAAGGCTTGACGATAGGATCCAGTATGTCGCTCTGATAGTTTGCCGCTTTTGTTTTCACGCCCTGTTTACAGAAATGGAGCTGAGTGACCCCTTCGTAGGACACCCCCCACCAAACCATGACTGACGCAGGGTGGTGGCCTCTCTCAACTCTCGGAATGATCTCCGAAGCTTCCTGTGAACTCCTTGCATACACTTTGTCATTTTGTCGGTTGAATTTTTCTTCTATGGTGAAGATTTTCTCATCCGTGAACAAAATCTTTCGGAATCCCCCAGCTGCGTACCTCTCCAAGAGCTTCTTGGATCTTGTCGCCCTGATGTGTCGCAAGGTGGCCGTAAGTCGCTGGCCCGTACGTCTCCGGTAAGCCCCTAGCCCTAGGTCTTGTTTAATGATGCGCGACATCGTCCGGACAGGAATCTTCATTTCCCTGGATAGGATCTTCTGCTTCCGGAGTGGATTCCTTTGAATCCTGGCTTTTACGGCTTTGATGGCTGCTGGAGTCCTTACTTGACGAGGTCTTCCGCTTCTTGGCCTGTCATCAACAGAGGACGTCTCATTGTACCGCTGAATGGTCCTAGGCACAAATTTACGCGATATTTGAAGGCCGCGTAAGAGTTCAAAAATCTGACTAGCACTGTGATTACACTTATGTAAAGCTATCACTGCAATACGGTTCTCTGCCTTGCCCCACTCCATCGTTATGCTTCGAGAGATCAATACAAACTGAGGTATATGCAATTACCCGAAAAGCGCTTAATCAACTGACACCACAATGTAAACAATCGGACAAGTATTAACAGGTCTACACTTGTTTGAAAACGAGGGACAGAACTTATGGCATGACTACGTATAATACGTCATACATTGCCATTTCAAAACCGAATGATCAGATAGACATTTGTTGCGCATACCAGATTTATTCCAAAATCAGTATTATTTTTTCCTGGCCTTATTTGAAGTAGGATTTCAAAATCCTCCTCTACCGCCGTAGTCAAATTTTCAATTCGACATTTCATCCATCACTAAATTTGTTTTTTCCCTATGGACACAATTTTTTACATTTAAATGGACTTTTCAGTCTTTAATTCAGTGATGTATTTCCTCAGATGGTCATGAATCTGTTGTTTGATGAAAACTATAAGGAATTGAAATGAAAACAAAATCAAAATTCCATTGATGGTAATTACAATAATAATCTTAAATAAGCAAAGGTAAATCATAGCAGATGTTGTTCTTTATTTTGTAGGCAAAGTCTGACTCTTCTCCTCTCGATTTATTTCACTCCTGGGTCTTCCAAACTTTGAGTTCTGGTCTGGCATACTATAACCTTCGTTTTTCTCGAATAACTAGGATTTGACAATGTCAATGTATGACATATACATTTTTGATATTAGAATCTAAAACTCTAATCATCTACGCAAAATTCCAATATGGCGGCCATAAGAAAAAATAAAATTGATGCATATTGAAATTGTAATTAGGCCATCTTGCAGAAGATAATGCGAGTGTGCAATTTATTTAAAAATCCCAATACAAACTAACCCAGAAAAAATTAAGGATTTAAGGAAAAATTCTGTTTTTTAGATCTCTCTCCGGAAGTACTTTGGATTTCATTACTTTTTATAAGTGGCATTTTGTTACCTGAATACACAGCTTTGCCACCATTTTAGCGATTTCGGATCTCTTACCGTTTCCGAGATCCCGCTGGTGAGGTTCGAATTCAAAATACTCGCTATATACCACAATGGTAAAAAAGTTACAAAAAATGTTTATGAAAGCGTAAGTGACAGATGAGTCTGTGAATTAGCTTCGTAATCAGGTAGAAACTGGGATGAGATGATTTTCAGTAGAGAAGCTAAATGATGGTTTTTCTTGGGGCCTTACAGAACACAATTTTATAAACATTGAGGTATATATATATATATATAATTCAGCGCTTCAGGCCTGAAGGCCCATGGCTTCTATCTTTTTGACAACTTCTTTCCACGCTTTTCTATTTTTGGTCTTTTCCTCCCAGTCTGGTATGCCTAGTCTTTGTATATCCTCTTTGACACTTTCCAGCCACTGCTTCTTCGGTCTTCCTCTTCTTCTTCTACTACCTTCTCCTCCAAACAAAACTTTTTTGGCATTCCTATGAGACGGCATTCTGTAAACGTGTCCTAACCAGCGCACTCTTTGAGCTCGGGCTTTTTGTATTATACTGGGTTGGTTATACATCTCCATCAGTTCTTTATTAGTTCGCTTTCTCCATGTACCATCGTTGTTTTTTGTGCCCCCATATATTTTACGTAACATTTTTCTTTCCCAGCGTTCCAATTTCTGTACGTTTCTCTGGCTTAACACCCAAGCTTCATCGCTGTAAAGTACTGATGGTTGGATAACTGATTTATACGTATATATCCTTTCCTTTGTTTTCCTTGATATCCACCTCGAGTTTATCATCGTGCTTAAAGCCCCCATTGCTTTACTCCCTTTTGCTATTCTTTTTTCAATTTCTAAATCTTCTTCTGCTTTATCTGTTATTGTGACCCCTAGATATTCAAATTGATTCACCTTCTCGAAACAGTATTCTCTGCAACTACTTTTTATTGTTAACTTTCCTTCATTGCTTCCTCTCATTTCAAGGTATTTTGTTTTGTCTTCATTTATTTGAAGCCCAAAACGTTTGGCAGTTTCTTCTAACCTTCTAAACGTCTTCTCAAGTTCTGCTTTGGATCTGGTTATTATTGCTATATCATCGGCATAAGCAATCAACTGATGTTTTCTATAGTAAACAACTCCGTCGGTTTGTATACCACAATTACGTAAAATAGCTTCCAGCGTAAAGTTAAACAATGTTGTAGATAGCGGGTCCCCTTGTCTCAGGCCTCTCGTTACGCCAAAAGCTCTAGATGTTTTCCCTTCCAATGTGACTTTGTTCATTGTCCCGTTCATTGTCATTTTGACTAACCTTATCAGTTTACTTGGTAGTCCCAGCAGTCTCATAGCTTCATATAATTTTTCTCTGTCAATGGAATCATACGCTTGCTTGAAATCAATAAATAATGCATGTAAACCAAGATTTTGTTCATAGCTATTATAGAACAGCTGTTTCATTGTAAATATTTGGTCTATTTTGAACCTGCCCCTTCTAAAACCTCCTTGATATTCACCTACAACCTCATTTTCATATATGCTCAATCTGTCCCTTAGTTGAAATGCTAGTATCTTATACGCAGTGTCTAACAGGGCAATGCCTCTATAGTTTTCACATGAACTTTTATCACCTTTTTTGTGTATTGGGCAGATTACGGCGTTTTTCCATTCATCTGGTAGTTCCTCTTGATTCCATATATATCTGATCAGACTTCCAAGTCGCTTGTGTAAATCTTGTCCACCCGCTTTTATTATTTCTACTGTGATTCCATTTTCTCCTGGACTCTTATTGTATTTTAATCTTCCTATTGTTTCCTCTATTTCCAGATCCGTTGGTTCGTGTATTTCTCCCTGATTGTCATCTTCGATTAGTGGTGCTGCTTCCGTGTTCCTTTCCTCTTCGTCTGATAGCTTTAACAGTTCCTCAAAATGTTTGGCCCACCTTTCTAATTTTCCTGGAATGTCACCAATTAACGACCCATCTTTGTCTTTATAGAAGCAAGAAGACCTTTGACTAACCAATTTGCTTCTTCTTACATCCTGATAAAAGTTCTTAATGTTTTTGTTGATTATGTGATTTTCTATCATTTTCAAGCCCATTTCCCAGTATTCACGCTTTTTCTTTCTACACATCTCTTTTACTTTTCGTTTGGCTTGCTCATATCTTTTCCTTGACTCTGTTGTTCTAGATACATCCATTTGTATTTTTGCTTTCTGTCTTTGTTCCAATTCCCGTTTACAGTCATCATCGAACCACTCTTTGTTTTTTCTA